TGTGGGTCGCAACCCCTTTGGCGGTCGAACAACCCTTCACAGGGGGTCGCCTAAGACCATGCTGCATATCAGATATTTACATTACGATTCTTAACAGTAACAACATTACAGTTATGAAGTAGCAACGAAAATAATTTTATGGTTGGATCACAACATGAGGAACTGTATTTAAAGGGACAGAAGGTTGAGAACCACTGGTTTACTGGGTAGATTAAATTTTTTTTTTTTTGTTTTGTTTTAAATATATTTTATTGATTTTTTACAGAGAGGAAGGGAGAGAGATAGAGATAGAGAGTTAGAAACATCGATGAGAGAGAAACATCGATCAGCTGCCTCCTGCACATCTCCCACTGGGGATGTGCCCGCAACCCAGGTACATGCCACTGACCGGAATCGAACCTGGGACCCTTCAGTCCGCAGGCCGACGCTCTATCCACTGAGCCAAACCGGCCTTGGCTGTTTTTGTTTTTTTATTGAATCCTAGATAGCTATATCAAATATCGAAATCAGATAAGTCAGGAAGAAAAGTTCCAAAAGAGCAAAAGGATGAAGGCAAATTGGGAAAAAAAAATTGGGGGTTGTTAATAAGAACTAGCGTGCCACTCCAGATTTTAAGTTCTCTGAGGGCAGAAACTGGGGCTACATGATATCTGCACTTAAGGTCCTTAGCACCATGCTTGCTCACTTTAAGAGTCCAACAAGTTTGTAGAATAAATAACAAATAGTGGTAGTGACCCAGGCTCTGGAAGGAGCGGCCAGGAGCAGGGTCCCGCTGAAGGGTAGATGTGGAAATAGACAGGAGGTTTAAGAGGGTCTTGTCCCCCGAAAGAAACAAAGAGCAGAGTATTGCAGGTTTGTGTTGTATCTCGCTTTCAGCATAGCTTTGTCATCTTGGACAAATAATTTATGCATTTGGGGCTTGGTTTTCTCAGCTCTCCTCTGTACAATGAGGATAAAAATAACCACCTGGGGGTGTTAATGTGTGCATGAAAAGAACCTGTCACAGTGCTGGGCATAGGGCAGGAAATCAATGAATATTATCATTCTGTTCTGCCACCTTCCAACCTTTCCCTCCTTTCCACCTCACAGACTTTCTATTCTGCTCCTGTCATGAAGAGTTAACAAGAACATTAGTGCTAAGCCGTGCCACTGCTGGCCTTGAATGTTGTGAAAGAGCGTAGATGGATTGTTGCAAAACTTATTGCACTAAAAGAAAAACAATACAGGCATCTGTTTTTCTGGTGGAAGGATTAGTAGCAACAAACCCTCTGTGTAAAGGACAGGACTTGGTGATTTATTAAACCCAGAGGCAATTCAAAAAGTTGGTAAGTGTAAGGGTTTGTGGTGGAACAAGACTTGGTTTTGTCCCACATGTTTGCCATTCTAATCAGGCAAGTTACTTAACATTTTGCACTTAGGTTTCCACCTCTGTGGCATGCCTACTTGCATTCATTCATTCATTCATTCATTCACTCCTGAGTACCTCCGCAGTATGTGCAGGGTGCAGGAAACACAACCGCGATGCAGACATACAGTTAGCATGGTGTGTGGAAAGCACACTAATGTGTGGGGAGCTAGCCATGAAGCCTGAATAGGAGCCAGCCATTGCGTGAAGGGTTGAAGAAAGATTGTTCAAAATAGGGGGTGAAAGAAGGCCAACAGGCAGGTTTCAGGAGCTGAGCATGTTAGTGCTGCTGAGGCATAGAGCTGTAGGGGTGAGGAATGAGGGTTAAGCCCCAGGGGAGGGAGAGCTGGGTTGATTAGGAAGGGCCTTGAAAACCACATTAAGGAATTCAGAGTTTATCGTTAGGGTGACAATAGCACTTACCAAGCGATGCTTCCCAGTGGGACCCAGTCCAGTGGGGCCCACTGAGCATTTTCTCCCTGCCAGAAGATTCACAGGGCACATGAGTATCTATTAATATTCTTTGGTGAAGAATTCTGTTTAATATTTGTTTAACAGTTTTCCCAAACCTAATTGATATTTAAAAAATTAACCTCTTCTGAACTGAGGCCTCTGAGAATCTCCTTGGGGAAAATGATGAGTAAAGGGAAGCCATTTTATGGTTGTAACTTGGGGCCCAACATAACCTTATTTGCATTTTATAAAGAAATGATCATTTCTACCACAAATGATACACCAGGTACTCTTCAAAGCACTGAATTAACTTAATTTCATAACAAGCCCACGAGGTGGGTATTATTCTTTTATGCACTGTTGAAATGAGAAAACCAAGGCATAAAAGATTTCAGTAATTTCCTAAGGTTACGAAACTAGTTGTAAGTGGAGGATCTTGGCTATGAACTTGGCCAGTCTGGTCTTGGAGCTTATACTTAGATCAGTCTGACTGCAAGATGTATGGAACGATTCTCCCTCATGGCCCGCAGAAGGAACCAACCCTGCCAACACCTTGTTTTTGAACTTCTAGTCTCCAGACTGTAAAAAAAATTATTGTTTAATCCACCCAGTTCATGGTCCTTTGTTTCAGCTGTCCTTACACCCAGCAGTAGATACATGGGTGTTTATTTTATATTATAGTTTACGACTTCTAAATGTGTCACAAGTTACTTTTTATGTACCAAATGTTTACATAATAAAAATAAAAAGACAAAAGGAGTTATTATTTTCATTACTACCAAACCAAACATTAATAGCATGTTTCCGCTATTAATCTTTATGGCGAATTCAGGCAAAGCTTTTCTTGACATTTTTATTAAAACTATAAAAATCAACTTCCAACAGTCCCTTTGATTTTTATATGGTTCTTATTTCAACCTTAGTGTCACATCTTCTGAGCAAAGCGTCCTATATCTCCTGAAGGAGGGTGATTGCCACGCACACACCCGTCATGGTATGCTATCTTCTTGGATAGCATAGGAATCCTGGACATATGCAATCACATGGAAATTTTGAGCATGCATGCATGCCCCAAGTTAAGGGCCTTCCTCTGGCCCAGAAGCCATGCAGAGCTGGGGCTAGTATGCTTTGTTCACACAGCTGTACCCCTGCCTCCTAGAAACAGTGCCTGACACAACGTAGGTGCTCAAGAAATTGGAAAGTATAAATGAATAGCTCAATGTGAGTGTCCACTTCTCAGAAGTAACAATACCAACTACTGCTTTTCAGAAGACTTTATCAGCCTTCTCCCAACATCTATTCACTACTGACCTGTTTATTTCCCTCATTTGCTGATTCACTAGCTCTTCTCCCTAACCTGAGCACTTGTGTGTGTGTGTGTATATGTGTGTGTGTGTGTGTGTATTTTTCTTTTAAGAATATTTAGTTGTTTAATTTCCCATATTACTACTAATGGTAACATATTCTTTCTATATTGAGGAGAAGAGGTGTAAGTGCTTTAGAATCTTTTACTGATATTCAGATTAAATGTATCTTGACTAAGGAATGGATTCTAAAAGTGGAACTCCAAGAATACATGCAAAATAAATATCCATTTTTTTAAAAATAGGATTTATCTAGTACTTTAAAAACCAAATCAATATTTTAAGTATATTACATAATGAATGTTATGATTTGACATTGCCCGAATAATATTTTTTTCTTTTTTACTCAGGAGATAGAGCCTCTGATGTTAGTGAAGTGTCCCAGAGAGAGATATTGAACTATAATACTGGAATGCTGATTGTAACATTGATGAATTCAAACAACATTTGATAAGTGGCCAAGCATAGTCCTAGGTGAGGATGGAGAGAGGAATAAGATCTCTGCAGAAATTTGGTTCAGTGGGGGAGACAAAGTAAACAGATAATTGCAATGTAAAATGATTAAGTGCTATTAATCATTAAAAGAAAGAATAGTGCTCTATGCCATTCACATTTTTTACTGTGGTTTATTACATAGTCTTTTCTTTTTTGGATACTAGCCATCTAGATATAATATTTCTCTACTAACCAAAATATTTGATTAATCAAATTGTCTAATTCCCTGACCATACACAAGGAATGATTTATTTTACAAGTTATAATCATATCATTAAAAAAACCCACACCTCAATATCTATCACAGAGGAGAACTGTGCGGTTGTTCTTTTATACAGTTAATGGCTAATTTATGTTATTTTGCATAAGCATTTTATAATCCTTTTCGATTTCCAGGAATTTAGAGGCCCCTTCTGGTTTTAGAATGGAGAAAAGAGGGTTTATTTCCATTTGGCACTGGTTTTTGCTGTAGGTGGTGGCAAAACTGTACTAAAATAAAATGAGCAAAGGTCAGTGATAGATGCCCACAGTGTTTAGCTGGAAAATGCTGCCTAGTTAACAGGTATGGGTCAAAATGATATTAGCAAAAGGCAGTTATAGAATTAAAATGGCTCCAATTGTAATTTCTAATGAAGTAGTGGATATTTCTTTACTTGATCATAAAATGATCCCCACAATATTTGCTAGGTTCACATCTCTTTGGGTAAACATATCACTAGAAATTATTTTTAAATAATTAACATGTTACTAATCCCTTATCTGCAGGTGCCCTTTAAGAATACCTCGCACCCCTTCCTCTTCTCACATTACTTAGTAGCTTGAAAGGCAGTCCAGCCTTCTAAGTGACAGTGAACCTAAGCAGTGACTGTTTCCATTCACAACATGTGGCTTGAATCCCTCCTGTTTTTAACTCCCTGAGGCTATCAGCCACAAAGCCCTTCCTCAAATACACCATCACCGTCTCCATCTTTCTACCTGGTTTCTTTACCCTATCCGAGCTGGATGTGGGATGAGTTCCGTCTGCCAACTACAAGCTGACAGTCCAACACGCTGCCATGACAGCTGTTGGTAAGCTGTGTTCACCTCTCCCGATTCCTAGTTTGCAGCCTTAGCGATGGCGCCTGGAGCTTGAAAATGAGTTTGTAACTAAACTTTTCGCCAAGCGGTCAGGCAACGAGAGAGCAGCTCTGATGCTGCGGGAGTGGTGGTGGTGGGGGGCAGAGCACCCGAGCGCGATGCCCTCATCTCCGTCTCTCTTAGTCGGTCTCTGGGCTCACGGAAAAGGGGCGGAGAGGAGAGAGAAGAGAAAGGGGCGGAGGTCACCCTCTTCCTCCATCCCTCCCAGGCTGCGAGCGCCGCTAGGTGCTGAGGATCCCAGGAAACGAGCACCACCGGCAGGTTCCGCCCAGGGGGAGCGGACGGCGGGGCCAGCAGGGAGACTTAGCCCGAGCCCGAGCCCGAGCCGGGAGCGAGCGGGAGCGCAGTGCTGCGCCCGGGAACCCGTGGCGAAGGGCGGCGGGCGCGCGATGGCGCACGGAGCGGTGCGCTCTTCTGCTCCGCCGTGAGCCCTGCCGGCGACCGGGATGCAAGGTAACCACCCTCCAGCCCCTGGATTCCCAAGCGTTGGCATCCGGATGCTCAGCGCGACTGAGGTTTAGCCACCCCACGCCCGGGCGCCCAGGAGGGCACCTCAGCCTGCGCGTGGCAACAAGTTTGGACCAGATGCCCAAGGTGGGGAGACCCCTAGAGAGAAAGGTGCTCGGGCCGATCTGTCCCAATTCTCAGCTGCGGCTTGAGGACTAGGTAGACAAGATCTCAGAAGAGGGAAAAGGGCAAGAAAGAGGTCCCCTTCGCGCCTGTGTTTCCCTGCCCCCGGCACTGAGTCCGGCACCCCGGCCAGCGCGGGCCTTTGGTGCCCCTAGCCCCTCGGGGTGGGAGGAAACCCGGCCTTTGGCGCCTCCCGGGAATAGGAGGAAAACCGGCCCGCCGGTATTTGAGCAATTGCAAAAAGTTTCTGCAGTTAGGAGGTTTGGGAAGGATGTTGCAAACAGACACATGGGGGCGGCGGGGTGGTAATGTGAGAAAGGCGGGCGGTGAGTAAGATTTGAAGGAGGCGGCCGTCCGCGGGCAGCCTGGGCAGACCACTCGGGCGGGTCCCCGGGAAGGCTGGTTCCAGCATTCTCAGCCTCCGGGAAAGCTGCTCGCGAAAGGCCAATCGGACTACCCTGGGGCGGGGTGGGTCTGGTCGTGGGTGGGTATCGGGGGTCTGTGACTCAGGCCTCAAGTCAATGAGCAGAGAGCGACAATAAATCGCATTGGATGTTGCTACTCTTCAGCTGTAGCTTAATCAACATCATCTGGGCAGATGTGCTCATAGCACAACTCGCCTCCCTTCCTAGGATTTCTGCACAGGTGGTAGCTGGACCAGAAAGCCTTCCTAGAGACTCACTGCTCTGCCTTCCTTGGCTCGCTGATGCGTGTGGTGAGCTGTTATTTGATCTCAATCAAATAGTTTTAGAACATACTGAGGAAAGCCCCATGTAACACCAGTGACCTTGCTGCCTCCTCCCAAGGTTTGGAGAAGCTTGTTTTGTCTACCTGACAAACAGGTAGGTTATCTAAGGAATAATCTGCAGTTTGGGGACAAAGCCCATTTGGGCAAAAAAAGCAGAAACTTTAAAAGGTCATCTAGCTATTTGCATAGACTCTTAGGCCTTTTACCACTTGATTGGGTTTAAACCTCATCTTGTTAGTGACTTTGCAAACCCATAAAGAGGTTAATCAAGGGAGCTCACTTTCGGCAGCTTCTTTTCCTTGAAAATGAAAACATGGGACCCCAGACCTTCAGGATGACGCAACCTCGCTTATGATAGGTCAGATGCATCTGATTCCTACCCCAAGATTGGGGCCCTTCGGACTTAAATGTCGGAGGAGCAGTTCTGCAGGGCGATCATTCCTCTGTCTTTATGCTACAGATGCCGGGACTACAAGCCTGCACTCTTCTCAGAGGGAGATGACTTGAGCAGCCCGCGTTTATCTCCACAACAATGTCCATGAACAATTCCAAACAGCCAGTGTCTCCTGCAGCTGGGCTCCTTTCAAATACAACTTGCCAGACGGAAAACAGGCTTTCTGTCTTTTTTTCAATAATCTTCATGACGGTGGGGATCTTATCCAACAGCCTTGCCATTGCTATACTCATGAAGGCCTATCAGAGGTTTAGACAGAAGTCCAAGGCATCGTTTCTGCTCTTGGCTAGTGGCCTGGTGATCACAGACTTCTTCGGCCACCTCGTCAACGGAACGATAGCAGTGTTTGTTTATGCTTCTGATAAAGACTGGATCCGCTTTGACCAATCAAACATCCTGTGCAGTATTTTTGGTATCTCCATGGTATTTTCTGGCCTGTGCCCGCTTTTTCTGGGCAGTGTGATGGCCATTGAGCGATGTATCGGAGTCACCAAGCCAATATTTCATTCCACAAAAATCACATCCAAGCACGTGAAAGTGATGCTGAGCGGGGTGTGCTTGTTTGCCGTTTTCATAGCTTTGCTGCCCATCCTTGGGCATCGAGACTATCAAATTCAAGCATCGAGGACCTGGTGTTTCTACAAAACAGAACATATCCAAGACTGGGAAGATAGGTTTTACCTTCTCCTTTTTTCTTTTCTGGGGCTCTTAGCCCTTGGGGTTTCATTCTTGTGCAACGCCATCACAGGAGTTACACTTTTAAGAGTGAAATTTAAAAGTCAGCAGCACAGACAAGGCAGGTCTCATCATTTTGAAATGATCATCCAGCTGCTGGCCATCATGTGTGTCTCCTGCATCTGCTGGAGCCCGTTTCTGGTAAGAGCCGAAGCTGAACCTTTTGACAAGTTTTGCTCTCTTCTGTTTTTCCATGTTCAAAACAAGATTTGCTGCCTTTTGCAAAATTATTAGTCTTGGTGGGTAGCGCTATTCAGTCTTTTAAATGCTGGGGTTTGTGCCTACTTAAAACGTATGTCAGCACTCGGCGCTGGCTGTGAATGGAGCTGTTTATGAAACACGTGCTCAGTTCCCCACAAGTCCTGAGTTGAAAGCAATGTCTTGTTAAGTAATTCTAAGTGTATACTTGCAGGGCAGTATAAAGTCATTTGAACAGAAGTAACGCAGTTTTAATGTACTGAATATGATTAGTTTCTAAAATGTGAAAAAAATGACCAACTATAAAATACAATACTGGAGTGGACTCTAGTAAGTCTTGGTGGGAAATCACACAGAATTTTAATTTATAGAAAAGGCATATTAGCTACTGGGTTCTTCTAAACATGCAATGACCAGCTCTCAGCTTGCCAGTAGTGGTGATGAGTTGAGATAGTTGGATAGTTCAGGTGAACTATAAGCATAGATCAGGTGAAGAAATCACTAGTTCATAAAGCCAGTAGTGCAGGGAGAGATATGATTGGCAGGAGAGCTAGGGATTCCTCCCTTAGCATTCATTCTTTAAAAAAAAAAAAATTAGCCAAAAGCTGTGTTTAACAGCTTGATGTTTTTAGAAATGAAGGCTAAGATTAAGGAGTGGGCAACACATATAAGTCATTTATATTATTTTGCAAGTAGAAGAAAACATAAATATGTTTGATAAGTGCGACCTTAATGTCCTTCAACATTTTCTTTTACGAGAGGAAGAGTTACATGCCATGAAAGAAAAAAATCCACCTGTACGTAGCTACTGATGGCAGCAAAGATTGTTTACATTCGTTTTTCTGTACCAGCGGGGAAATAGGCTAGTATCCAGAGACAGTGATACAGGTGATATACAGGTAGAGGTGAGGCAAAGGATAAGACAAAGGTAGACATAACACAAAGGGCATGGTCATACCTTGCATGGTAGTATGAAGGTGTTTGTTACTCATGCAGTTTTCCTAAGGCTCCAGCAGGTCCATTGCCCAAGAACTGTTGCCAGTGTTGTTTAATAAACAATCCCTGATGCACAGAAAAGTTTGTGAGAGCTGCTGACACAGACAGATCCTGTGACACCTAACTTTGTTTTACAGAAGGATTTCAACTTTTTGAATATTTTTTATTTCTATTCACATTATTTTCTCATAATTTGAATTTAGCCTGTTGAATAGTATTTTTTTTTTATGATGTTCCTGAATCTGTCCTAGGAAACCAGCCAAGGTGAGGCTAAACTGGGTCTGTCAGTGGTAAGTCAAAATTTTGAGGCCTGCTTGTTGTCAATTTCGGAGGCCTTAAGGGAACCCAAGCAGGGATCTGATCTGTGCTCATGGTCATGGTATAGTTACTTGAATCTTAGCAGCAGAGAACAGTTCTGTCAACCCTTGGAATCACTGCAGTGTTCATTCCTGAAGAGCTTAATTTATGCTATTTGACCAAGGAAATTTCCTTAGAATAATGCTTTTTTCCCCTTAATTTTGAAATACAGTGTGCTTTTCAAAATAAAAAGTGAGTTTGAGTAGAACTGAAATTGATTTGGGGGTTGGAAAGGGAATACCAAGAAGGTGAGAAAAGAGGTAGTTAAAAATATTTAAAGACTTTTTTTTTTTTTTTAAAGTAAGGTCCTAATTCTGGAGAAAACCTTAAAAAGTGAAATAGTGAACTCAGAGAGAGACAGATAATATGGACACCTGAGGTAATCATTGATATTTTAGTTTTTATTTGTTCTGTGTCACCTTTAAAATTATGCTTAGTTCTGGCTCTGATTTTGATAAAGCGGAGTGATAGGTTAACTATTGTAAGACTATGGAAGGTAGCAAATTTCATTTTTGCCATGGATAGTTTGAATTTATGTTCTTCTCTCATGTCTTTTCCTGAATTCTTGGTTTCCTTCACTATTAACATGGATATTACTATTTAACTCGTATTTTGAATATATTTCCTAGTGGAAACAATTTTCATGAAACATTTTCTGAGGTCAACATTGTATTTAACTATGAATTATTGACACACCTGTGACACCAAGGTATCAATACTTCTAAAATGCTTTGTATTATGGAAGTTATTTCTGTGTTAGATGCCCAGTAGGTATACCACAGAAACTGCTTGGTGGATTGATATTGTATTTCAAGCATTCTTTGCATTCCTCGTTTCTCTTGTGCAGATTTGGGTCTTCCTGGCAAGCTCAGGCTAAAGGGCTTATACATTTAGTGGTTTTGGATATAAGTGCTTTGGGCATTAGGTTAAGGCCATTCAGGCAGCTCTAAATCGAACCCTAACAAAAACTCAGGCTTGGGAATGCCAAAATAACACCCAACATGAATATCTCTCAGTTGAAACATTTCTCTTTATTTTTTTCTTTAAATGCCTAGGAGGAGTTGCATAGCTGTTAATGACTGAGCCATCATTCCCCACCCTGTATTTTAAAAGCTTCTTAAGTTTTACAAATACCTCTGAAACCAGATTCCCATACATGTACTATAATGATACCTTCTAGGCCAGTGCTCTAATTTACAACACTGCCTTCTGTCTTAATGGATAAGTAGGAATTGTGGGATTTGTAATTTGAATGAATATCTCTACACACTCCTCCACCTCTGTTCACTGACACTTTCAAGCTGGAAACTGGACTGAAGGTACAGGTACACACACCAAGAGGAGCAATGTAGGTGATAGAATCCTTGTTTAATAGGACTTCTTGCATCAAAACATATCAATAGTGGCATGATTTTTAAAATGATTTAAATTTGTAACTGATGACAAAGGGGATACTTTATTAATTTTGATGACTGAGTTTAACCAATACAAAGGCAAGACGGTCATGATGTTTGTTTGAATTCTCTCTCTCTCTCTCTCTCTCTCTCTTGAAAAGGCTTTATTTTTCTTGATTAGTTTTAGGTTTACTGTAAAATAAGTGGAAAGAGTTCACATTTACCTTCTAACCCCCAGTCATCCTTATTATTAACATCTTGCATTGGTGACATACACTTGTTACCATTGATGAGTCAGTACTGAATACATTGTATTGATTTAAGTCTCTAGTTTACATTAGGGTTTTCTGTTAATATTTTACATTGTGTGGCTTTTGAAAAATATATTTTAACCTATTTCCACCATTATGTGCCCTAAAAATCCCCTGTGGTGTTTTTCTTTTTAATTTAATGTGTCACTTTTCCTAAGGGAAAAATATATGTGTGTGTTTTGTCAGGATTGAGATCAGTAGTACAATCATAATATTAGTTTAAAATATAAATTGTTAATGACTTTTTAATTTTTATAATATCTGGGTTTTATAATTTTAAACATGGTTAACACATATGAATTATCTTAATTATAATCCCAACTGAAAAATACAGGAAAGCACAATAAGCATTTATTAGCTGATAATTCCATTTAGTAATACGTTGATACAAAAATCTTTCAGAGTCAAATGGTAATGATAAAATTGTGTTGTGTGCATACTAGGTGAATCATTTTCCCTAATAAATAACTCTTGAAGACATTTTTCAATGTTTCTTAAGTGAGGGGAAAAAGACATTTACTACTGCTATCAAGTAACATTTCCTTAATATTCTTTGTTTCTGTTTTTATACAGGTAATGATTCTTTTAAAAGTTTTGTTTCTAGAATATATAACTCTAAAAGGAATTTATTATTATTGCTATGTTTATTTCACCAGTTTGGTAGAGCAATAAATACTTGTTGACTGGCTGACTGTAACCTAAGTAGTACGAATGTCAAGAGATTGCAAATGATTGACCAGAATGTGGATTCTGAGTTTTGTAGGTAGCAGTTAATAAAGCAAATACTGAAACCAAATGGTAGTTTTTCATCTGTTCCCTAAGTTAGCAACTATAGACTTCTGACACTATTAAACTTCTTTTACCTTCTTTTCTGGGATAAAGGGTCATTTTGAATTGGGTAAAGAGGTATAAAGTGTATGAAGAACCAAATGGTTTCTCTTGTAGGTGAGTTTACCTAAGAAATATGTTCTCCTGCATATGTAGAGTTTGAATATGATTTTTCCAAGAGTTTATGTTAGTATTTCTAGTCAATGTAGTCAAACATTTGGTCACTAAGATGTTTGTCAATACAAATCAAAGACTTGGGCGGTTAATTGAACTTTGACTGAATTACTAAAGGCATTGGCCACATAATGACCAGGTCTGAGAGGGGTAATGGCAAATGATGGAGCCAAGCAACGTCATAGCACATCTTGACTCAGAGTGAAGATTGTTTTCTTTGAAAGGCAGGCCCTCATTTTCGTATTTAAGAACTGTGTCATGGAAATCTGTGTAGTGTCTGTGCATTTGCCACTACATCAAAAGAGATGATGAATTGATGTACACATTTAAGTATAAAGCCAATGTGAAAATGTATACATATGCACATACATAACATGTACATGTACAAGTTATTTACCCAGTTAAAAAAATTAATTGACCAATCAACCCACCATTGGATCTAAATGTCCCCAAAGAAAGGACTGCTAATGGATTTCATTCTGAAGTTAAAAACAAAATGGATTCTTTCGTACTTTTATGTCAGAACTTGGAAAGTATGTCTTTTTGATTTATTCTTCGACTGCTGCTGATTTTAGAGGCAGTACTGTCATACCTTGTTTCAGTGGGTTTCCTTTGGAAGTGGCATGTGCTCCCATGCTTGGAATTTGGAAGCAGCCATGATGTTGTCTGGATAAAGGACTGATGATGCCATTTGGGTTCTATTCTAGAAAATTCTTAAACAACCTAGACCCTTAGAACTCAAAATACATATCAAGAAGAAAAAGTCTATTTTAGAACTATATTAGCATAGTTTACATGATGGGAATTCAGGCTGCTTTTGTGTTTGGGTGGGGCATGGAGTAAGTGGCATGAGGCCAATGACAGTCACTGGCAGAGGACTAGC